GGGAGAAATGTAGAAATAGAAGAAAAGGTCAGAATGGTGATACAACTTTCATAAAACAAAACTTTTGGAAGTGTTGAAGGGAATGTCTCTTATTCTTTTATTATTCTCCTCTCTGCTCCATGATATCAATCCCTGCAATATCAGCAGAATGACACATCCAAAAACCTACTCTTCACTCTATTAGAGGGAATTTAATTTAAGACTGTAATATGTTAATGTGAGTATCCTCTTTAAGTGCTGTGCATAGTTTTCAATTTGTTAAGGAATTTTACATATGCACGTGCACACACTTTCTTTTTTTTTTTTTAAAGATTTATTGATTGATTGATTTATACATACAAGCACTGTGTACAGTCAGAAGCGCGGGAGGGTGAGAGAATTCACCAGAGCCAGAGCAGGGAGCAGAGCAGGCAGAAGGACCGAAGTACACTGCTGAGGGGAGCAGCAGGTGTCAGGAGAGGTCTGTGCGCCATGTGGGACCCTCCTCTGGTGGCCGGGGAGCAGCCGAGGATCGAACCAGCGCTGCAGAGGCTGCGGGCAGCTTCGCAACCCAGCGTTCAACCGCAGCGCCACCAGGGAGGCCCCACACACTTTCTTTAATGACCAGCTGTGTGGTTGTATTACTGGTTGGATGTTTGGAATACAGTAACACATTTGTGACTGCTCCTTTACACTTAATTGCATATAATAAATCCTTAATAAATGGGTATATTGAATTTTAAATGAAATATAGGCTAAGCAGAAAACATTTTATCTACTCTTCACATACATGCCTAGGTTTTGGAAAGCTATAGACCTTAAGGATGTATAATGTAGACTAGGAATGGTTGAAGAGCTAATTTTCAAGATAGGACATAATGGTAATTTGTTAATAGAAGTAGTGAATCATGACAATTTTGGCAAACTCTACTTTTGTTATCTATTTAATTCTCCCCAAATAAGAAATTAGACATGCATTTAAAGAACACAAATAGTAGCAGGTCAAAAATAGACATTTCCTTTTAGTTGAAATAGATATAATATGCCGTAGTAATAGAGAACTGAAGGATTTAAGAAAATTTACAAGAATGAGTGTGCATTAGTCTTTGTTGAAGATGATTTTTTTGATATTTCTGACTCCTGGAAACAGTCATTTTGAGAATATAATAGATATTAAGACAAATTAGTTCAAATATTTTTCTCTGGTTCTATTTTATGCATCACCCAGAAATATAATGCAATTGATTATGACTGACTAGAGATTTATAAAAAAGCTTTAATACTAAGTTAATTTTTTTTTTTTTAAATTTTGGAGTGTGGTTTTGGCCCTATAGGATATAGTGGCATGTGTTTGTTACACATATCTTCAGAATCATTTTTAAGTATATTTTGAGAATGGTTGCCTTTAGAAAACTTTAAAACATCAAATATAATTTTTAGATATCTAAAAATTATAATTAGTTGCAGAATTAGAGAAAATTGTTAAAACCATGTTAAAATTGAAAATTTTAATACATATTTTTCTGCAAGTTATTTCATTTCATTTTTTACCATAGAGTTTTGGAGTTCTCATTGTAAAAATGAACCTTTTTTTTTTTTTTTTTTTTTTTAAGACATGCCCTGTTTGCCTTTAGAGGAAAAGACTATGTAGAGGAAAAACTGGAAAGAGTATCATGAGCTTATAATGGTGTAAAAGCGTCCTCTAAGTAGGTTCATGATCACAGTGTGACAGCATCTTACAAGAGAAAGGGGTCCACTCTCTTTATAGGACAAAGTCTTGTTTAATGAAAACAATAACATTGTGTAGAAAGCAGGGACATTTTGTTCTGAATATACAGAAAATAAAGACATGTGATAAGCCAAGACTTGTGATTAATATAAGAAACTCTTGCATGTGCAAATTCATCATGACCTGTTTTTGAGAAATACACACATATTAGAAGGGATAGCATCATTCTTTGGAGATATACATAGTGTATCCACAAATTATGATGAAAAATATATAATGTGGTCATCCAGATGATAAAAATTAGTTTGCAGATATCTTAACACTATTTCAAAAGACTACCAGGGCCAAGAGCAATATTGAGAAAGTGAAAATAAAATGAAAACATATAAGAGAGACATTCTGGAAGGGATTTTATCCCTCCCAACGCTAGAGGAGATAAAAGTACTAGAATGTATGTGATTCTAATAATTTAATATACTCTACTCAGGAATGTAAAGAGAATAACTGCTTGACCACATTCAACTGCAAAATTCATGAAGAAACCTTTAAGTAGCCTTGAAATGAAACAGTTTGTAGCCAGAAAATACAAATCAAAATTGATTCTAATTTAAAATCAATTTAAGGGCTTTTTTTTTTTTTTCTTGAAGCCAGGGGCTGAAGAGTGTTTTTGTAAGGATCTTGCCTAAAACATGGATGGTATAGAAAAATTAAATAGTTCATTATGCTTTTTATTTTAAATCAAAGACTCTGAAAAGGTACAATTTTCAGTTTTTCAATGTTGCTCCTTAATGACTGTGTCTATAATAAACTGAAGAAGCCTGAATTTCTCCAGCTTTCTAAAACAATAAATGTTCCTCCTTCTCTGAGCTGCATCTGTCTTGGTAAAATTTCAGCCATCAACATAGTGGCATAGGGGCAAAGCAACCACTAAACATAGATCTAGAATTTCATTTAGAAGGAGGATTTCAAGTTTCTAAGGACAAGGGATGCACTTCCAGTGCCATCTTTCCCTTCCCTTTTGTCCTACCATATCTACAGTCTAGCCTTCACTGAAGACATGGCAAACCCCCTGGTGAACTAGGCTGATGTCAGATAGTTTATTGCCTGTGACATGCACCAGGCTGAAGGTTGACCCTTCCTTCTGCTCACTGGCTCATTCTCACAGATCTAGCTTACAAAAGACATTTCCTTCTATAAACAACTTCATTGCACTCCTTGCAAAACAGATTAGGGCAAAGCCATTTTTAAATGGAACTCAAACAGGATAGTGCAGAAGGAATGAGACTGTAATGGGTCCACATTTTAAAGGAATTACAAAATTTTTCATTCTCTCCCTCCTTGCTGAAGGTATTTTCTAGCAATATAATCTCTAAATTTTGCCTTAAATTTAGTCTCAAAAAAATATAGGATGATGAAGGTTTCTCAAAGATTTTATCATCAAACTATATAGACAATGAAGGCAAGGAGAGATGAATGTGCAGTAATCATGTGACAAACCCAGACAGATAGGGAGAGAAGTAAATAAATAAATAGGTAGGTTGTAAGGAGGGTATCCTTACTATACCTTAACAGATATTTAGTTAGGCTTTTCTTCTCTTTCTGAAAGTGTTATCAGTTTGGGTTGTTTGTTGTTCATTTTAGATTTTACTTAATCAGCTAGAGGAGTGTTTGGATTGGATTATAACCAACACTTTTTCTCAAGGTATTTAGTATCAACACGTTATTTATCAATCAATCTATGCTTCAAAACAGACTTTCTCCTTATTTTTATAACTTCCCTAATTTTGGACTTTTTATGTCTGTATAAGACCTCTTTGACTTTCTGAATAGCTCAGCTTTCAAATATAAGCATCTCCAAAGAAGCTGCGTTGGATATGCATGCTGTTGGCCAAGTGGTGTTGACTCCTTGGGATCTTGGGTTGTGTTCATAACAAAATAAGTAAGGAAAAACTAAGAGTATTCATGTAAAATGAAAAGCATATTAATTTTTATGAAATTTTGTGTGACTTTGTAAAGTTTAGGTGACTAGAGGTTAGAGAAAGCAGTATAATTTTATCCTATTTAAATTTCAACATTGTTGTATCTCAAAATTATAAGGTAGCTGATAGTCACGTTATATTTTATTATTATATTTTTGCATCCTATGCAATGTTGAGATCAGAGAGAACCATTTTATTCATATTCAACTGAAACTGAAACACATTTTATATTTATATTAAAAGGACAGAGCTTAAAAATGTAGAGAACAAGATATTTCTATCACATTGTCATAGTTTTAACTAAAGATTCTGAGTTACTGACAATACCAAAAAGAGGTTTATTCAATCATTTTTGTGCTGTTGTTATTACATTTACTTTACCAGAGAATGATTTTTCATATTCCCTTTTGAAATTCTAATCTGAAACCTTTCTTTTTGAATTTGCTGTAGTTTTATCTGGTTCCTTAAAGCAAGGTGTGCAGCAGATGCTCACATTTTGGCATAATGCAGTTCATTTGAACAGAAATATTCTATTTAGATATTCCATAATTCTGTAGAACTTGGAGAAAATGCAGTTATCAAAAACCCAAGAGCAACTGAATTGGTAAGATGACCCCAGAGCACCCCTTAACCTTTACTGGCCAAGGCTCTCCAGGAAGCTCACGAAGCCAGCTTACCTAGTAAGTCTAACCTAGATGTCCAAAGGAAAGTCGTAGTATGCTTAGAAACTTCCTATGCTTATATTTTCTCCTGTATATAAGTCTTACCTGATCAGTGCCAAGAATTTCCTAAGATAAAGTATAACCACCGAGACTGTGTTCAGTCATAAAGGCAAAATTATGATGAAACAGCTGCAGTTTATTTTTTGTGCAGCTATTTTGGACCTTTTATCCACTTGCCATGTTGATTCCAGAACCAATGTGGATTATATTTTTTAAAATGTTTTCTATAAATGATTGCTTTCTTTTCAGGTAGAATTTGAATTTTTTATTTGAAAACTAGTATCATGCTTTTGAGATGACAATGTTATTGTTAATAATCCTGGACTTTGATATTTTGGAAATATTAAGAGGAATCAAAGGCCTAAGTAGATGGCATATCCCTCCAAGACTGTGTATTAATATTTTCACACCTAACACGCTATAATGGGAATAACAAATATGATCCTTTGAAAATACTGCCATTTTTTATAATTTTATCAAGACACATAGACTAATAGAAGCCCCTTCCTCTAAAGGAACAATTTCACTCTCCTCTATAGAACCACAATATAAGGGAGAAAATTCTCAGTGAAAAATGCAGTAAAAATTTACCTTTTCCACCCTGGGAGATCCTTGTATCACCTGAGTTCTTGGCGTCTGAAACACAAAAAGATGAGGGACTGGTTAGACACCCTGAAATGTGGCTTTCTAACTCATGACCAGACTTAATAGCCTTAACCTAGGCATAATTAAGGAGTTCTACATATTCAGGAGAAACTTACTATTACAAAAAATTAAGGGAACAGAAATGAAGGATATGGAGTAAACACATTGCTTGAGGCAGAGAGGAGGCGAGAGATGAAACACTCTGTAATCCGGGAGTACCATAGATACTGATATCAGGAGCCCAGGATCCTTTCAATTTCCAAACAGGACTGTTTCAAAGTGGGGTTTTAAGATAAACTTTATTATCATGACTAATGCCAGTCCATTTAGTCTCCATAGAGTGACTGCCTAATAAAACACTGCATATAATTCTTCACAGCCGAGTCCTTCTATATTTTATTACACTCTTACAATCCTTTATTCACACAACATCAACTCTCTTAAACTGCAACTAACAATCTTTCACTTCACTACCGCAAGTGTTCCTGCTGCATTACAACAAGGGCCAACTGTTCCGTGAAATGCACAAGCTCTTTGGTGTGGCCCTGCTGGTCTCTAGAGGGT